TGTAAAAAGTAAGAGTAGAGAGAGAGAGAGAGAGAGAGAGAGAGAGAGAGAGAGAGAGAGAGAGAGAGAGAGAGAGAAGGAGAGAGAGAGAGGGAGAGAGAGAGAGAGAGAGAGAGAGAAGGAGAGAGAGAGAGAGAGGAGAGAGAGAGAGAGAGAGAGAGAGAGAGAGAGAGAGAGAGAGAGAGAGAGAGAGAGAGACGCAGTGATGAAGCAAGCCCCGGCGAGCCATGCCACTGCAAGCACACGCAGCGGGTGAAGCGAGAGAGAGGATTGCGGTGTGTCGCAGACTTCGGTGTAGCCCTAATCCTAGCTGCACGCACGCGTAATATGTCATGCGCAGGCCAGCCACATGACCAAAACCCCTGTTCGTGAGTACGTGTGGCAAGGGAAACTGCCCATGAATTAATACAGCTGGATTAGTCCACAGATGCTTACTTCCCTTGCATTTCTGTTATAACAAGGATCTGATATAATAGGACTTTCCATTGTGATGATATAATTATAAATTAATAATAATAATAAAAATAATATTAATAATATAACACTAGCGGTTATTATGACAATGGTGATGGTGATAATTATAACAGCAACAGTTTATCAAAAACAATAACAATACATGTGATGATGAAAAAGATACGAGACTAACAACAATAGAAATATTAATTGTAATAATAAGAAGAAACAAATAATGACGGGTGACCAGAATGCGGACAACGTTTCGCCAGCCAGCTGTTTGTTTAAATGTATTATGCCCTTTGTGTTTTTATATGGACAAAAAAGGGTTTGAGCTAAAAAAAAAATAAGAAGAAGAAGAAAAAAAATTCTAAACAGGCTGAGAAATGCAATTTTTTCAGATTTCATTATTTTGACGAGCGCTAATTTAACTGCGATGCTTTAAATTCCTGGTCTACTGCGTATAGGGCACTGGTTTACTGCATATAGGCCATTATCCAACTGCATATAGGTGACTGATCTAACGCATATTATAGGGCACTGGTCTACTGCACATAGGGCACTGGTCTACTGCATATAGGGCACTGGTCTACTGGTCTGAAGCGCATACGCCATTACTCTACTGCGTATAGGCCACAGTCTACTGCATATAGGCCACTAGTCTACTGCGTATAGGCCACAGTCTACTGCATATAGGCCACTGGTCTGCTGCGTATAGGGCACTATCTACTGCGAATAGGGCACAGGTCTACTGCGTATAGGGCACTGGTCTACTGCGTATAGGGCACTGGTCTACTGCGTATAGGCCACTGGTTTATGGCATATAGGGCACTGGTGTATGATGTAGGGCCTACATGGCGCTGGTCTCATAACCCATGTTCGGTACCTGATATCCTTTTTCACAACCACATAGAAAACATAAGACAAAGGCAGTGATGGTGAAAAGTTTTGAATGTATCGAGGAAAAAAAAAGGCCAACGGACGGACGAAACAAATGCTGGGTCTATAAAAGTAGAGATAGTGAATTATGTTTGCAATATTTGAGACGTGGAATTATGTAATAAATATCTTATGATACAATACACAGTATAGTAATAAGTCATGAGAATAAGGCATTATGGCATCATCCACAGATCAGTAAAATACAAGACAATAAACAAAACAGTAACGTCAAAACGCACGACAATAAACAAAACAGTAACGTTAAAACACAAGACAATAAACAAAACAGTAACGTTAAAACACAAGACAATAAACAAAACAGTAACGTTAAGACACAAGACAATAAACAAAACAGTAACGTTAAGACACATGACAATAAACAAAACAGTAACGTTAAAACACAAGACAATAAACAAAACAGTAACGTTAAGACACAAGACAATAAACAAAACAGTAACGTTAAAACACATGACAATAAACAAAACAGTAACGTTAAACAGGAACGTTAAAACACAAGACAATTAACAAAAAGGAAACATTAAAACAGAAAAGCAAAAATTATACACTAAGCTCATGGGTGATGAATTTGTTATCTGTAAATTAATGTCTCTTTTACTTCACGTCCTATTAAGTACAAAATCAGTTTTTACCAGCAACATTAACAGCTTGGTTCCTTGACAGAACATTACACACACGGAGGGAAGTTTGCGAGGAAGTTTGAAATAATAAGAGAAACGGTGATTCCCCTAATAATTCGAGAGCGTCGCTGTAATCTCCATGAACATACTGAGCCAGTCACAATTCACAGTTAGCGTGTGTAAATCTACTC